GATTTCTAGTTTTTGGTAATTATGAATAAAGCTACTATAAATATTTGCAAACAGGTGTTTTTGCACATGAATGTTTTTTATTTCTCGTGGACAAAGACCTAGAAGTTGCTATTGCATAAACATATGTTTTACCTTTATAAGAAACTGCCAAAGTGTTTTCCAAAGTGGCTATACCATTGTGTTCCTATCAGCAATGATAACTATTGTTCTGCATCCTTGTCAGCACTTTGTATTGTCAGTTTTTCTCAATTTTAGCCATTGTAGTGGTGTCTCATTGTGATTTTAATTTGCATTTCCCTAAATGACTAATGCTGAGTATCTTTTCATGTGCTTATCTGCCATCCACTTCTTTTTTGGCCAAATGTTGGCCCAAATCTTTTGCCCATTTTTTAAAAATTGGGTTTGTCTTTTAATTATTGATTTGTAAGAGTTCTTTACATATTCTTGATACTATTCCTTTATTAGACATGTGTTTTGACAGCTTCTTTTTTGAGGAATTAGAAATTATAAGAATCTAAATCATACTGTTTTTCTTCCAAACCACCATCACCCTCTGATGAAGGGAACAGAAAAGACAAACTTTCAATTTACAAACACGTTAGTGCCACTGGACAGAGGGTCAAGCAGTATTCGGTACCTGCTAAAACTCATAAGATTATTTCTACCTCAACTATAAGCACCAAACCAACATTAGGCTTGAAGGAAAGCTACATCTGGAGAAATGGCTGTCCTATAAACAGCTTTTGGCCCCCCAGGCTCTGCACCTCCCAAAGCCCTGTTCTGGTCTGCCAGGCTCCTGGAATGGTCAACAGTCGTCACACTCCATTGCTGGCATTGTCCACTGGGAAAGGTAGGAGGCTCCTAATCCATCCTTCAGTGAAAGAGCAAACAGTGAGGCCTGTGGCTGCTTGGACATCAAAGTTGAGCAAACAGGCCTGGCAGGCCCTGCCTCTCCGCCTACACATCCTGCAAATGCCATCTGAAGGAGCTTCCCCAAGGGGGTCGTGACTTTCAGCTTGTCACAGCACACATCAAAGTCTGCACCACACACGAACTGGGTGCATGGGTTCGAATCAAGTCGCCCAAGAGCGGATACTCAGCCATTGTGTCCAGTTTTAAGCCTGTGTTTTCCCAAGTAATTAAGCCTTCTTGCTTATGAACTTGTGACTAAGTAAAGCATCACTGAGAGGTTGTAACATCAAAGTGCCTTCCACCGTCTGTCCATGTTTGATAAAATTGGATTTCTTTCCCTTCTTAAAGAAAAACTAATTGAATTTAGCTGAAGCCTGGGTATATTTGCACGAGTCGGTGAGGGCTATGCTAAGTCACAGTGATCATCCTGGGACCCTGTGGCTTAGCCTTTAGCTGGGCTGGGTCAGAGTTCAACCCAGAAGGAGGTGCCCAGACTCGGGCTGAACAAGCGCCTGGGGCCGAACAAGCGCCTGAGGCCGGAGGCTTATGGGGGGCTCCCTGTGGAGAAGGGGCCAGCCCCAGGGACTGCTCCTTGAGTCAATATGACACCCAGGCTGTTACTAGGGCTGGCAAAAGGATCGTCCTAGTAGAATGTTGGTAAATCTTGGGTAGAACGGCTACTGAAGACAATGGCCATCACATTACTCGAGTCCTTGATGTCAGCAGTCCGAGTAAGCTTCTTAAGGCAAAGGCTGTGACTGCTTATACTCTGAATCCCCCCATAGCCTAGGACATCAGCACCCACGCAGCACAGTTTTAAAAAATGTTTGCTAGATGCATAAAATGATAATATAAGGGGATGTCAGAAGGAAGTTCTTCTCTCCTGAAGAACCAGACTCTCTGTAGCTCCTTTTGGCCTTGTTCATCAGGAAACTTCAACCTAAACTAATACCTGATTCCACTAATTTCCTGATTTACAATGAGTATAGCACGGTCCCATTTATGTAAAATTAGACACACATGTAGATATATATACACAATGATCAATTTCTAGATAGAAGGAATTCAGGTGACTGCTACTTTCTTCTCTATATTATTTTTACAAAAACAATAAACCTATTTTTGGAAAAGAAAATCTCTGGTTCAATCCTGATACAATTATCTTTCCTTTTACCAATATGATTTCTGATCTTGATCCAGTTTTAACTCTCCCATGTACACCTATGGTTGTATTTTAATTTAAGTCACGTCCAAACCCCTTTTTGGAAATAAAAGGAGTGAATAAATTATAAATTAAGTTCCCATGCATACTTTTAAAATTCTGTTCTATAGCACTGTATTTTCTATTCAAAATTAAATAAAATAGTAGTCTTTACTCTTCAAAATTAAATAAAATAATAAATACATACATAAATGAAAGTTCATGAGACGTTAATCTCCTTAAGGACAGAGATTATTGTGTTCTGTATCCCTAAGGACCTAACACACGAAGCAGGCGCTCGCCAGAGACAGCTGAAGGTGAGATGACTGGGCTGCTCTCAGGATCTCTCCCGAGCTTGTGGGCTGCCAACACTCTAGAGAGGTGAAGGGTCTCTGCTCTCGGCCTGAATCAAAGGGTGCTGCCCCCCTACTTTCCCTTCATCCAAATCCAATTCAAAGGTGGTGGCATTTCAGGCCTGGCTAATATGATTCCTGAAGGGTTTGTTGATTAATGAGATGAGAAGCAGCACACTTCTAATACGGAGAACCTTACTGGCAGATTGTGCTGGCTGGACGTGATAATCCTTCAACTCTCCCATGGCACCTTACCGACGAGGCCTGCTCACCCTGACCAACGTACTGGCATTCCCTTTAACCAGATTCTACTTTTCCTTTGTTCCACAGCACTCCTTACCTTCTAATACATTGTGTAGTTCACTTATGCATTATATTTATTGTTTATTGTCTGTGCCTCTCTCCCCCTAGGGACCACCACTAGTATAGGAATAAGCTCTATGAGGGCAGGGATCTTTGTCTGCCTAGAACAAAAAATTGTGATATAAATAAATAAATCCAACTTGAAAGTGTGCTGTTTAACACAGAATAAAAATCTGTCCTCCCTGGGTACTGGAAGGAAAAGGAGGGCACAAAATGGACACTTAAAAAACCAGTAATTAGTCCTAGGAGTCAAAGCAAGTAAATATAAGCTTTGCTCAACGAGCATCACTGATTTGCTAATGGCCCTGAATGAAGACAGAGCAATCAGTTAAACCAACAACTCACCAGATTCAGAGGGAAGTGTCCCCAAAGCACATCTACTAGCTACCTGCTCAGTGACTGGCAGTACTCTTAAGTATAGTGTTGTTTCCTATTCAGTCTCAACACTGAAAATACTACACATAGAAGGGCACACACTCCCTCCCTTTTCTGCACCACTGGCTATCTCTTGCAGATAGAGGTACTTGCAAGCTGGGACAGAAGACTGGTGGGCGGGGTGGAGGTGGTGGTGGGTGGTGTGTGGAGTATGAGTGGTGTAGAGTAAACACATGTGTGTTTGCGTGTAGAGAGGTCTAACATGGGCACAGAGAATAAGAACTCATCATTTATAACCTGTAGTACATATATTATCTCATTCGATACTCACAAGAATACAGCAAGAATCTACTCTGCTGCCAGATTCAGTCCCCTCACACCCTCTGCTTTGATAATATCCTGTTCACACGGCTCTAAAATCACTGATTACACTATAATGTCTCTCTACCTGCCTTTCTTTTCCTCATTAGACTGCAAGCTCCCAAGGTCTCTGATTCCCCAAGGATTAGCACAGAACCTGGCTGAGAGTAGGTATTTACCAAACGTTTATAGAAATAATTGATTTCAGGTGAAGAAACAGGGTGTCCCTAGAACACTCAAATTCAATTAAGAGTCAGAACCAAGACTGGATTCCAGATATCTCAACCTCAAAGCCTATTTACATCAATTTTTCTTTTAAAGACTAAGTACTTGGCACTAAAGAGGCAAATAAGGAGATGGAGTATGAGACCAAGTTCACGATACAGGAGCAGAGGAGAGAGACCTCTCTCTCAGCCAAGTCTCTCAATCAGTCTGAGGCGGAGCCACCCTTATATTATAAAATCCATGTTTTGTTGGTTTCCACCACATTTATGACCCTTCCAACGGTGGCCAGTACTGGCAGATAAAAGCTTTAAAGATCTGCTGGAAGGGGAAATTAAAATTGGTACTTCCAACTATCAATTTCAGTGGCTGCTCCTAAAGTGCCCAGTCTGCTTTCTTTGAAAGTATCTCTTTTTGCTCTTTTTAATTAATTATTTTTCACAATCACAGCTAGAGACTGGGGTGGAAAGGCAGCATCCAGCACAAGCCCGGGATCTGGTGGAGGGAGGCAGCAGTAAGGTATAGTAAAACACACAACCTTTTCAGGCAGCCAGACTAGGCTCTAAATCCTGTTTGTGTGACCTTAGACAAATCACTTTATCTCTCTGGGCTTTAATTTTCTCTGCTGCAAAATAAGAATGATAATATATATCTTGTGGGGTGATTGTGAGAATTAGAGATAACTCTACACAAAGACTATTTTTATCCTTACACAACAGCTACACCTTGAAGGAAGGAGGGACTGGGTAGGGAAATAGCAGGGCCTCCAACGGGAGGGAAGGAACAGACCCATCTTCCCTAGTTTCCATCAGAACCTCCAAAGAAACAGCCCAGCGGAGCCCTTGATGGGGACAGTGACTGCAGGCATCTCAACACTGACTGATATTGGATAACGAAGACATGATGAAAACCAGGCATGTACACTTAACCACTTACAACAGGCTTTCAAACATTTCGTTGCTTGGATAATGCAAACGACTTGCCTAAGGTCACAAAGCCAAAGAATGATGGTACTGGGATCCAAAGCTACATCTTCCCTCTCCACATCTCCTATACTCTCCATTGCACCAGGTGTAGACTAGTACTTTAGGCTGAGTCCATCTCCCTGCCTCTGGAGAAGAGAGTAGGGGGACAGGCAAGGGTGGGAGACGATTCAGGGATGTGGTCTGCAGAGATCTGGCTAAGGAAGCCCTGTGTGGAAGGAGATCTCTCACCTGTCATTTCGGCTGATGGCCGCCACCATGAGTGCTGTCCAGCCAAGTTTGTGCCTTGCATTGACATCTGCACCTTCTGACAAGAGCCTAGAAAGAGACAGAGGAATATTTTCAACGTATGGCTTATCATGCACGTAAGAGTAGAATAAATGAGACAGTCAGTAAACAGCAAGGCTGGATGAGTCCGGAAATAGAGGCCTTTGAGAACTAAATACCCATCCCAGCTCCTCTGGCCACTCTCTCCCCAACCTAGGAGGGAGGGCTTCCCCTTATGTCTCTCCCTCTTCCCTTAAATGAGTCTGCCCCCTGCTGTTATCCTCCCAGCCTTCTGAGAAAAGAGTGTGCCGGCCCTACCTTAAATACCCTGACGCTCCCACTCCCTTGATCCACAATGCTCTCTCCCTGCCTCTCTGCATATTCTAATCCTACTTTCATGCTATGAGATACAATCCTGGCTTGAGGACTCTCTCCTGAGAAGGCTTCCTTGACTCATCCAGTCCACGGATCTCTCTTCCTTCCTTAGAATTCCCCGTGCTTAGCACCAAATGCCCAATGACACTTCTTATCTAGGTAGTTCCCAGTTTACAAAAGGATCACATTCATCTAGTTTATCTGTACGGTGGCTGTTTGGAAATTGGAAATCTTTGAACCCAAGGAAAGATGGAAAGAATGTTAGAAATGCTAGATTAGGTTTCTAGGAGAGTCCACATGAGCCTTTTTGACTCTAAATGCCAATGCCTAGCATAGTAGGAGCTCAACAGTTGTTGGATAAATTAACAAACACAGGGTTTTATAAGTGTACCACTAAAAGCCTGAATTCTGGGTCCCGGGAACAGGAGGCCCGGCCCTACAATGTGGGGTGGAGAGACAGAAGGGGAGTAAACAGAAGCAACCCTTACTGAGCGCCTACTACAAGCAGGAACTTCAGGTGCACACTCTCATCTACTCTTCACACAAGCTTAAGGAGCTGACATTAGTCTCCTCTTTTCATGGATGAGGTAACAGGCTCAGTGAGGTGAAACGACTCACTGAGGGTCACAGAGGTAGTTAAGGGGCAATACGGTGACTAGAACCCAGGTCGATAATGGCTCTACAGCCTGAATCCTTCTCACCTCACCACCCTTCCTCTAGACTGAACCTGGCTCCATGTAACATAGAAGACGAAAGACTAAATTGACTTCAGCAAATCAACACATGCATGTCCTGTGCTAGATTCTGGGATGGGGGTGAGGAGAGGACATGGGGTCTGCCCTAGGGAAATACAAAATTCAGTTGTAGAGGGAGGACTCAGGATAATAGGAGATTAAAGCCTGCAGTGTGGCTTCCCACCAGAAGTGCTGCAGGAAGCCAGGAAAGGAGAGAACGAAAGTCGCGGGTGATTCCCCAACAAGGCAGGATCTGCTTATGAGGAATGGGTGGAGGGTGTCTGGGGGAACTGGGAGGCTGCCTACTCTTCAGTGGCTTCTAGCCGGAAAGGGCACTGGCAGAGAGTCCAGAGGCTTGGGTTTGAGTCCTAGCAATATGCTTGTGCCACAATCTGTAGTAAATGCTCCTCTGGAGCACGCCAAATAAAACCTCTGTGCTGTCGAAGTAAGCAGGTGACTAAGGCTTGGGAGGATGAGGAGCCACACAATAGCCTGTGCTGATGCAGTGAATGAGACAGGCACTGCCAAAGCCAGAGCGGGAGACAGACTAGCAAGTACATAACTACACATGGGATGAGAGCTATGAACGGGGACTGCAGGTTGCAGGTGCACGACCAGGGAACCTAACCCAGTCTTAGTGACCTGGAGGCCTCTCTGAGGAGGTGAGGATAGAGATTTAGCCAGACTGAAGCGGGTGAGGGAGGGGAAGGAGCATTCCAGGCAGAGGTAAAGCCTCTCACCCAAAGGAAAAGGCCCTGAAAGGGTTTGGCATGACTAGGGCACAAAATGCGAGGGGAGAGTTTCGAGAGAGGAGCCTGGGAAATCCTAATCTCTCACCTCTAGTTTGGAGGATTCTTCTGGTGAAAAGTCCTGGGCCTCTTACTACATATACTTTTATGCAGAAACAATTTTCTATGGCCAAGAATGTTAAAGAGGCTAAGAACCCTGAGGATGACCCTTCTGTGAGACAAATCTCTCTCTGCATAAAACCTCCTTCCAAATTTACAAACCCTACCCTCATTTAGCAGGCCAGCTGGTACAGTAGAGAGCACATGGTTCTGAGAGTTAAGAGAGTAGAGTTCTGATCCTAACTGTGATTCTGATCAGATGCCTTCACTTCTCTGGTCCTCAGCCCAGAAGACTAGAAAATCAGGATGGGCTGAAGCAAATCCAAGAGGTTTCTGAAGGAAAAGTCTTGAACTGTGCCTTGAAGAACACGAACAGTTTAGAGATGAGGGAGGAAGTACCCGCCAGTCAAGAAAAACGGCACAGGATAGTATTCAGAAGCAGGGAAGGAATGGCAAGGTATATTCAGAGCCCAGTAAGTAGATCCATCTGGGTGACAGTTCAGCAGAGAAACAGTTGCCGAGGTATACAGGGCCTGCTACAGGGCCTCCAAAGCCAGGCTAGGATGCCAAGGCAGTGGGCATAAACCGTTTCTGAACCATGGACTCCTTTGAGAATATGATCAAAGCTGATGACTCTCTCCAGAAAAGTGCATAGGAGCACATACACTCCAAAAAATTTTTTTTGTTACATACAATGTCCAAGGTTCCCATGTTTATAGGTCCCCGTGAAATCAAAAGTGTACCTAGATTAAAAACTCAACCTAAAGGGTGATAAATGCCTGGCACGCATGCTACCGTCCTGCACTCCTGCATCTAAGTCAGAAATCACGAATCTCTCTCAGCACCTCTTTCCTGTGGAGCCTCTGCAAGAGCCTCAGAATCCTCATCAACACTGGTTCCAATCAGACACCATCAATTAATTGAACCTGGCAACAGAGAAGAAACCTTTCTGCCATTCCTTAGACTCTCACCATAAGCAGTGGGGTTGTCACTGAAGGTTTTTGGGCAAAAGAAATTATAATATTAACCTATGAGTTTAAGCAGGCTGAACCTGAAAGGGGAGAGAGTAGACAATGAGGACACGGAGACCAGTTTGGAGGCTGTGTGATACAGACCACAGGAGACGAGCTAGGGCAGGGGATGAGGAAGCAGGACGTGGCTAGGAGGAACCCTGTGCATGCAGCCAGAAGCCCTCATGCCTTCAGTGGGTTCAGTGACCCGTGTTCCCTGCCTGGGCCCCGAGAATTCTGGAAGCAGCACTGCTCGGGAGCCAGGGCTGAAGAAAAAAGATTGAGATGCCTCCTCCTCCTGCCCCTTGAGGCTGAGGGTAGCGTAATAAAGAGACAAGGATGAATAAAGGGCTTTGAATTAAGTTAGACCTGGATTCAAATTCTGGTTCAGCTAGATAACCCTGAGCAAATCAGTTCCTTGAGTCTCGGTTTTCTCACCTATCAAATAGGGATGATAATCTCTAGATTGCAGGGATACCAGCCCAGTGCCTGGCATAGAGCAGGTATTCAATACAGGGTGGTTTCTGCCTGCCACCCTACCCTACCTCCATCCCTTTGATGGAACAGTGTTCTAGTCTCAAGCTGGTAGTGGCAGGTTGGCCGATACCCAGGGACTCTATGACAGGGTCACACAGGAAGACCTGGGTAACTCAGCCAGGCTGGCTCCAGCCACTTCTTTTTTCATTTATTTAACAAACACATGCACGCACTCACCCTGTGTCTGGCCACATGCTGGCTACTGACGAGGAGACAAGACAGAGGTCCTTGCTTTCCAGGGCCTGAGCCAAGCAGAGTTTTCTTTTTCTCTTGTGTGTGTGTGTGTGCGCGTGTGTGTGTGTGTGTATTTCTGTTCATTACTTTTTTTCACAAATAACTATGTTTTAAGCTATGCTAAGTACACAATAATTTCATTGTTTTTAATTGCTGCATAATTCTCCATAGCACATCCACCACATTTTCCCTTTCTGCTTTCCCAGGGATACCCATCCAGGAGCCTCTCTCCCCCAGCCACCAAAAACAATGCTCAAAGAACATCCTCTCACATGTCCCCTTTTGGACCTGCGTGAGTACCTCCCTGGGGCATGTACTTGGAGTGGGCTCCCTGGATCATAGGGTTTGCATGTACTTGATTTGACTAAACAGTGCCAGGGTCCTCTCCAGGACAGCTGCCCCATCTACTCTCCCACCAGCAGGACGGGGGTGTTCCTGTGTATCCCTCTCCCTGCCAACATTTGGCAGTAGCCAGCTTCCTAGTCACTGCCAGTCCAATAGGTGTGAAGGGATATCGCGCTATTGTTTTAATTTGCATGTCTCTGATTACCAACAATTTTGAGCTACTTGTTATATGGGTGTTAACATTTTGGGGTTTCCTTTTCTGTACACTGCAGGGTTTTCTTTTAAGAGGAGGGATTGCTGGGAGAGGGGTCTTCTCTAAACTTGCTATTCTTTCAATAGACAGAGTAGATAGAGCATAGGGCAGAGCCTGGAGACCTGGGTTCTAGTTCCACTTCTCCACCTCCTACTCTAAAACCCTCGGGAAGGCATACCACAGCTGTAAGCTTCATTCTCTTTATGGGATCATAATCCCTGCCACTTCACAGGAGTTGTAGGAAGCGACCCTGCAATCTGAAGGAAAGAGTTCTACAAACCTGAGGGGTCATTCCTTGGAAGCAAATCTTAGTATTCTTCAGTGAGATTCCAGCCTTTAAGCCCTGCCCAGCTTCCTGACTGAGCATCATTCTTTGCAGCCTCTTGGGGGCTCAGGTGCAATGGAAAAAGCAATGACCCTGGAATCCAAAGGCTGGAGTTCAGATTCTGGCTCTGTCACTTATTAGCTGTGAAATGGGGGATATTAATCCCTATTGTGCAAGGGGATTGTAAGGATCAAAAGAGATACCACATGGTAGAACTCCCTAAGGAGTGGTGGCACCCGATAAATCAAGGAAGGGCCAGAACAAACATAACCACCACGCCAAGCGAATCCAACCAGGAACAACTTTTCCTCTTTCAGAGCTGGGTGGGCCTCTCTCCCACATGCCCCCTGTGCAGAGCAGCCCCAAAACTTAAGATTTCACCAACCCAGT